CCGCGCCGGTGCGTGCACGGGCGGGAACCCGGCCCTTCTCGGCCAGCAGCCGGGTTTTTCTCGTTATTATATATCTGATCTATCAAACTTAGAGCTGTAACCATCAAGACAGCGCTGCTCGCAAATTGTATAGACACGGTTATATCATGGATGTGTGATTTATAATCATAAAGAAAAATAAATCCTCCATATGCCTGATAAAAATGAAAACAATCTCATAAATGATTTATAATCAAAGAAAAAGCATCATATATATGATTTATAATCATGAAAAATATATTTATGATTTATAATAAACTATATAATATATGATTTATAATGTATCTCATAAAATATATAATATATGATTTATAAATATATATGATTTATAATAATAGATCATATAGCTATGATTTATCAAACTATGATTTATCAAAAATAGATCTCATGATTTATCATAAAATATACAATATATGAGTTATAATCATAAATATATATGATTTATAATAGATCATGATTTATAGCTATGATTTATGATAAAAGAAAAATATGATTTATAATCAAAATATATCTCATATATTATTTATAAAATATACAATATATGAGTTATAATCATAAATATATATGATTTATAATAAACATAGATCACATATATATATGATTTATAATCATAAAGAAAAAATATATCTCATATATATGATTTATAATCACAAAAAATATGCTCACTGAAATTGACCAGGTTATAGCCAAAACGTACGTGTGTGTGTGCATGTGTGTGTGTGTCCATAAATGTCAGGGTTGCCAACCCTCCCGGACTGGCTGGGAGCACAGCGGTATCAGTCTCCTGGTGACTATTGAAAGCAATCTGGGAGATTTTAATAGGATATTTTAAGGGGAAAAAATGTCTCCCAGAATAGCTTCAGTCCGAGTTGGCAACCCTAGTAAATGTGTGTGTGTGTACGTATAAATAATGCTTAGGTTTTAGCCTCTGTGAGAGGCTAAAACCTGAACATTTTATAGAAATATGTAAGTAGGCAATCACTGATCCTCTGGATCGAGGTGTATGTGCACATTGGTGACGCTCGCCACCAGGCAGTCTCCGTGCCCCCGCCAGCCTCCGGGGGCATGCGGCGTTCGGGTGTGTGTAAGAGGGTCTAACCAGGTACCTGCTGAATCCATTTGTGCAGAGTCCTGCGACCATCAAGACCTTTGACGTCTACGCCTGGGCAAGAGAGTGGAGGGGAGTGTGGAGGTGGAGGCTGCCCAAGACCTACCACCCCCTTTACACAACTGACACAGAATCCAAAGGCCAGACTGAGTCCAGAGGTTCAGCGCCTCAGTGGTTGTAGCTTCTGCTAAAGAGCAGCAGGTAAGAGCTGCTGGTGATTGCCTGATTTTTTTTGTATGTGTACATGTCCTGGATCATTAAAGGATTTTGTTGTTGCATCCTTGTCAATGTTTCCTACAGGGAGAAGAGACGTGTTTTCTTAATAGCTTAGAAGTTGTCCCAGGCAATGCTATCATCCAGCTCTTTTCCAGCTTTGCAGCACTCGTTCGCATCGCCAGGTGTCACTCCAGTTCCATATAAATTCCAGTTCCATTCACTTCCAGCATCCATTCCAGCATGGGTTAGTATTGGGTCTTTTTTTTTTTCTTACGCCAAGGAGTTTGTAATAAAATAAACCTACAATTTTTATAAATTGGCTCTCCAGGTAACACATCATGACACAACTATGAACACAGGATGCAATCTGAACTTCTTATATAAAAGGAGAAATTAAAATGATGCTAGGTATAACTAGGGAATAAAGCGCTGCATCCTTTTAACTTCAAAATAAAAGCAGCTATTAGTACTACTATTAGTATTACTATTAGTATTCTTATTAGTTATTGATTATTAGTATTACGCTTGGCTGTTAGTATTATTGTAGGGCAGTGGTTCTCAACCCGGGTGGTGCAGCATCCTGGTGTGCTGTGGGAGCCTTTTAAAGGTTCTGGGCAATATCAGCACTGTCAGGTATGCAAACACCTGCACATGATTTACAGGATAAAACCAGAGATCTCAAATGGGAATCTATGGTATCAAAAACATTTTGCTCTATTGTGGTCTTTCTGAGTTCTTAGCAACAGAAGAATTTCTTTCATTTTTCTGTAAGCAAAAAATGAGTGAAAGCAAAGTGCTGGCATTTCCTGAAGCATGCCTTGAGTCTAACAGGGAGTTACTTGAGTCTAAAATGGTGAACCACTGCTATAGGGATGTGTGTTTAAAATAAATGCGCTTTTCATATGCTGCTTTGCCTAATAAAAAGTTTGTCTTGTCCAGAAAGTGATAGTCACCAGTTATTTCCTGTGTGAATGGTGAGGTGCCGGAAAAGTCTGATCCTCCATTAAAACTAGCATAGAGAGCTGGATCAGTTCATACCAACTGACACTCAGATTTATCATCTTAATTATAAGCATCACAAATTTAAAAACAGGTAGACAACCATGCATTAAAAGTAGGCAGTTAGGTCTAAGACTGGATGACTAGTAGTACAAATAATCACAAAATGCAACAGCCTTTGTTTCTGAGCTTGCTTCTGACTGATTCATTATTGGCACTGTGTAAGGAAGCCAAATGATCAAATTTTGGCACAAGAATTTCTCTCAGAAGGAATTTTTCATACACTCTTCTTCCACCAGTGTTGTAAGATTAGGATGAGCATCTTTCTAAAACACCTTCTGCCCTCTTGAGATGCAAAGACCTTCCCAAGGTGACCTGTTGTGAGGAGATCAAATGTGTTTATGTGCTACCTCTAATCTCTTCAGCTGCACCAGACGCTCAGAGCACCCTTCCAATATTAATCACAAACTCAGATTGTGAGACGCAGAACTGGCATTCCCGCTAGATAATTTTTCGCTTGCCAGTTTATTAAGCTGTTAAGCACTTCTGCCATATTTGTAGGTACAGACTTTTAAATCCATGAGACCGCAACCATTAGACCTATATTTGAATGTCAGTGATTTTCAAACAGGTCTCAGAATGACTGAATTAATCATCTGTTTCTGCAGTGTGTGATCTTTTCCCTGCCACTGTAGCAAATTCTGCTAAAACATTTCAGTGTAATTTGAGACGTTCACAGTTTAGCAAAAGGACTTGTATAAATGCTGATGGTGCTTCACAACTGTACATTTATTTTTAGGTTCGCTTGCTTATAGTCTTGCTGATTATTTTAGTGAATTTTGAAACCACGGATCATCAGCTTTTCTTATATTATGCATCACAAGGCCTGTCATTGCCTTTTCCCAGTGTTGACATTTCTATAGGGCAGTAGGCAATGTGTTTTCATTGGGGATGGAAAGCAGTCAACATTGTATTTGTTTCTGGAACCTCTACCACCCTGAATTCATAGTTGTTTGCAATCAATATGCAATTCTTAGGCTGCTGCTGTCTGTATCACCCATAGTCTTCTGAGGTACAGGGTATCTTTTATTAATCCAAATGCCTCTAATATCTCTGCCTACTTTCTTATACTTAGATAAAACATTATACTAATACCTGGCACAGATTATATTATAGAAATCAGGTTTCCCCCCCATGAGTTGTAGTTAATGAAACTGATGCAATCTTACCTGGCTTTTCATACCAAAAAGATATAATACAGCTGTATGCTTTGTTTGCTATCCACTTTTAACAGCCTTGGTAGTCTTAGAGTGATGTTATAGCCATGATGGTCCAGGAATTATGTTAGGGGCAAGGATTTATTTGGGATGATATCTTTTATTGGACCAACTGCATGATTGCAATAAAGTTAGACAAGCTTTCAAATGCAAAACATTTTTCATCATGTCTGAGGAGGGAAGCAAGCACAGCAAAAGTAAAGAGCAGAGAGTAGAGCTGTGAAATTGGAGTAGGGAGGGAAATTCCCAGGGACAGCCGACCAACAAGTAGCAGAAGAAAAGAAGCTGATTACTGGGAGATCAAGGCCCATCAAAAGGGAGTGGGGGTCACTCATTAATACCTGTTTTGTGAAGGAAGAAATTCAGGAACTGAGTAGATTATAGTGTGTCAAAATATCAATATTGGTGTTCAGTCCTTGATCCTTAGGCTACGGACAAAAATGACACCTGAACCAGTATAAATGATCAGAAGCCCGTCTAAACCTGTAACAGAACAGAAGTTCAGTGCACATAAACTGTTTTCAAAATGGCCAAGCCTGGTTTAAGATAGACTTGAGTGGAAGTAGTATCAGATCTAATCAGTATAGGTTAGACTGGTCTATCGAACTTCTGTCCCAGATACCCTCCGGACTCAAGTTACCTTGCAGCCCCCTGGCATCCCAGGAGAAGGTGGGGAAGGAGTCCCCTTTCCCAGTGCCACCCCCTGAGCCAGGCATCTGCACACACCTAGGGGGAACCTCATGCCCTGGGGGGTTTCCCCAGTCTGGGCTTACCCTTAACCGGAGACTGCCCAGATGCGGGGAGCCCTGCGCCAAGGTTGATTCCCCACCCCCACTCCGTGCAGCTGGGATGGCTGCTTAGCCCCACCCCTGACACCAGGATGGGGGACTCCTTCCCCTTCCCCACTGTGGGTAAGATACTCACAGGGGCTGGAGCTGAGCAGGTGGCCCCACCGCACAGTGGAGGGAGGGAATCCCCACAGCTGGGCAGACTAGGGCTCAGGGGAAGCCTGGGCCAGGGCTGAGGCATGTGGCTCCCCCCACATGGGCAGATGCCCAAATCCAGTGGGCCAGCTCCAAGATAGGGGACTCCTCCCCTCCCTCTATGGGTCAGAGACTTGCATGGAGCAGGGAAATGGGGTAGGAACTGAGCACCTGGCCCAGCCATGCAAGGGTGAGGAAGTCACCCAGCTGCAGTGCTCCCCGCAGCTGGTCAGACCAGCTCAGGGGGACCCCAGGCCCGGGCAGTGAAAACCCCCTGAAGCATGGGGCTTCCCTCACATGGGCAGATGCCCCGCTTGGGGGCTGGCATGGGGACCAGGGAGTTGGTGCATATGCTAGACAGCTAAGCAGGGATGGCCCCCACTTGGCTTGGCTCAGCAATGGCCAGCAGGCTGGATGGTGTGCTTGAGTGCCCCCTGCCTTCTGGCTTCACCAGCTCAGGCTTGTGTGTTCCTTTTGCAACTGAAGAGTGAGCATGACTTCTCTTCAGTACTAGTCCAGTCTACGCAGCTTAGAGAAACCTGCATCGATTGGATCGATTCCGCCTTGGGCTTTTTGACTGTCTGTACTTAGCATCCAGCCAGCTTTGAATTTTTGTTCCCAAGTTTGCCTTTTAAAGGTGTTCAGATTTCCCTCGAGCACAAGGGTAGTGAGGTCAGAAAGGGTATTGTGGTTCTGTAAAAAATGTATTCCTACTGACATATGCACATCTCTGTCCTTTATGTTTTTCCTGTGCAAGTGCCTTCTGGCGTGTAGTTGTTCTTTAGTTTTACTCACATAATTACCATGAGGGCAGTTGATGCATGGGATCAGCTATATCACATTGTGGGAAAGGCATGTGTAGGATCCATGGACTCGGATGGGTCAGTTGTGGGTGTATTGGCTGTAGGGGCAGTGGAGATGCACTGATTTGTTAAGCATCCCATTTTATGTCAGTGGAGAGGGGCGAGTTTGAGTTAGGCAAGGTTGGAGGGGTTGTTTGAAAGCTGAGGGGCAGGGAATACAGCATTGTATTTTAACTGACTTGGAGATAATGGTATGCCCTTTGATAGGTTTAAGAATATAGAAAGCCACTGATTACAGCAGTGGTGCTATTTTCCATTGTAAAGAATCATTTGTATTTATTTATTTATTTTTAAACACTTGGTTGTGCCTTCATTTGGAAAGTAAAGCTGTGTAGATGCTTGCTGGATTACACTGCCTTGCCTGGAGAAACTTCTTGCCATTACAATGAATGCAGTTGGAATTGTGATAAATGTAGGGTAGAGAGGGCTAAGGTGTTTGTACCACCACTGTATATCATCCTGCTTAGAGCAAGTCTAAGTGACACTGTAGAAGTGCCAGCAGCTGAATTATTATAACCTCTTCTCCAGCCCTGATGCTTCTGGCCTTTAATGTTCTTTAAATGCTCCGACTGATTGAGCCATATTAAAAAGGCATGGTTGACTGCTGCTGAGAATAAATACTTTGCAGTGCCTTACAATCACATAAAGAGACAAGTATCATTTTAAGCATCCAACCTTAGTTCAGAGAGAATAATACATCTTTGAAGATTGGCTTAAATTCTTGCCTTTTTCTCTGAGGTGTGCTATTCCAATCCAGGTGTTAGGTGTTGCTCCCAAGCACAAAGAATCCACAACCGATAAAAGGTTCCTCTTTGAAATTAATTTTAAAACCTAACTAAACAGAAGCAAGGTCATCTATGTTGCTAGCTGGGTTAATTGAAAACCAGACTCTTGATTAGGCAGTCCTGCAGATACAAGTTGTGGTCTTATCCTGTTTGAGAACTGCTGTCATGACCGTTACTACTATCCTTTTAGACAGTAACTACTGATTGCATGGAAAGACAGAGAAATAGATTTCATAGACATTAGGGCTAGAAGGGACCTCAGAAGATCATCGAGTCCAGCCACCCCCCCAGGGACAGGAAGTCAGCTAGGGTCAAAGAATCGCAGCAAGATAAGTGT